TTGGATCAGCCGCCGGATCAGCCACTATGGGGCGGGTGTGGTTATCCTCCTGATATCCGATCAAATCTTAACAAATTTTGATTGATATACTTTTTTTTTATCTTTTTTCACTTTCTGGATTTATTCTTTTTTGTCTTCTCTCCCTCTTTTTGGTTTATTCTTTTTGGTCTTTTTTCACTTTTATAGCAAAGTAAGTTATTCAGGGACTTGGTGTGCCGCTTTTTTTTTGGCCATAGGGAGGGCCCCAACTCGTTCACCACACCCGCTTTCTACGACTGTAGCACCGGGTGTTGGAGTCACATCTTCACCAACGCCAGGTGATCAGATTGTTTACTTTCGGCCCATCGATTCCGACCAACGACTGAACGGTACAGGTGCCCCGTCTGCACTTCCTCGAATCCGAAGTTGACATGAAATTGTGCGTACATAAAGCAGCTAGTTATGTAGTGCACGGCGAACTTGGGCACGACCGGCAGCGAACTTCAGCTGTCACAAAGTAACTAGTTTGCTGCCACCAACAGCAATGGTTTGCCTGTTCTCGGCCTCTTGCAGCATAGGCACCATGGGAAGCCAATGATCGCGGCAGGCGGGTTGAACCGCGCCAAGCGCGGTGTGCGGGAAGGGCAGGAGGGTTCGCTTTCATGCGAATCCGAATTTCCCCGCCCGAGACGATGACCTTGTGCTTGGTCTTGGACTGGTCGAGAACCGCATGGGGATTTCGCAAGAGCCAGACAATTGAAGCCAAAAAGTTGGGGTTTCCGTTGATGAAACAGTGTCTTAGCGATTGAGACAGCTCCCTCGGGTCCCGCTCGCCGCTAGGCCAAATGGAGAAGGATCTGTGGAAAAGTCAAGCTTTCGTCAGCCAAGGGGGGCTGAAAGGCGCGCGTTCTGCCGTGGAACGTTCTATTGGTTGCCTCACAGGCTCTCCAGTATTGGGAATACTGCACCTCGCGATGCCTGAGCGACGGCAAGCTCAACTGACCGGCCATAAGTGCCATTGGGACGGCGCTGATGCTTTCCGTGGATGGTTATCTATCGATCGTTCGCCCATGATAGCTCACCCTTCTTAGGCCGCGCTGCCCTGAAGCTCCCCCGTGACACAAGATTCAGTTCCCCCGACATTACGGAAAGCCTTGCGAGCCTCGTGCTTGTCAGGCCGCGAGCCGAAACCACAATCCTCGACACCTCCTGCGATCGACGACATAATCCATACATTCGACGCGATCGATATGAACAACAGTACAGACCCCAATGCGGGCGGTGGGGGAAATAATGACAACGCGGTCAACTGGGTGGCGTTGGTTGTGTCGTTGGTCGCCCTGCTCGGCACCATCGCTCAAGTCCTCCAACAATACTACTCCTCGGCTGCCGGGTACTCGAACTGCGGGGAGAGCGTGATGGGCAAATGGCACGAGAGCAAAGAACGAAAGTTTCGCCCCACCGAGCTGCGCTTCGAGGTCCGCTTCGAAACCCCCGTTTTCTTTGTCTGCCCAGCGTCGAACACCAAGGGCCCGATCCCGAACGCGGAGATACAGTTTGTAAATGGCACGCCGGAGAGCCTGCGGAAGACTCGTGCGCGGCTGGCCAGCGAGGAAGCGGAGACGCTGCGCCAAAAGGTGATGGGAAAGGCCATACACACAGCCGACAACGAGAGGGCTTCATGGGTCACGATGCTGTCGCATCTACAGAGCATGGAGAAGGAGAGTTACGACTGGCAACAGAAGCATTTCGAGGGCGGCCCGCCACACCCACTCGCGGGGTTCGAACAACACACCTTGGCTGTCGCACTACAAGCCAAGAAGCGTAGTTGGGACACGATGCCGGGTGGTGTGAAGAAGCCGTACGCCACGACTACGATGTGTCACTTGCTGGAGATTGCCGCGATGATGGGCATATACTGGAAGGAATTTGACCGGTCCCGAGAACGGTACCGCGCCGAAGGCAATGGGTATCTCCTCTCAGGAGTCCACGTCCCAGAGTTGGGCCCTACCTTCACTCTATACCTCACCGGGCAGAGCCGATTCCAAGAAAACCGGGTGATTCCCGTCGATGAGGTGAAGGAGTTGTGTTGCGGGTACGTTTCGACGTTGTTCTACAATAGCACCATGAAAGACAGGCGTAGGATCGAGTTCCCTAATGGGGAGCCTAACGACTTGCGGTTCCTTCAACTCGGGAGCATGGACGAGATTGCCGAGACCATGGTGTTGATCGAGTGCAATACCGACACGGCCAAGTACTTTCGGTCCCCTGACGCTAAGCACACCCATCTCTTCCCAGGTTCGTCCACAAACCCAAAACGTTTGTTACCTTGGCCTACGCTGATAAGAACAGTGCCCTTTGAACTGATAGGCATGCTCGGAAAAACGCTGCACATCCGTAACACCGCGTTTCGCATGCTGCCGAACCCCACCCCTTACCATTGGGACAAGAACTTTTTCAATCTGCGGAAACTGGTCAAGGAGTACGGCAAGAAAATCACCGACTCGGACATTGACTTGCCGACGGAGCACGAGCAGATTCAGCAGCTAATTCAGGACACCGAAACTCTGGTGGACACCCTGGGCCGAGACCGGAAGTCCAACACGCCAGGCTACTCCATGCTGTTGCTCAGCACCCTCCACGACATGCTGGACCGATGCGACGCGTTTCTCCGCCACAAGGACCGAAACCGCGACCTCGTCCGCATGGTGGTGCGTGAGCACTTTCAGGAAGTCATGAAACTCATCAACGATCGTAGCGACACCGACTCAGATGAGCGCAGCGTCGGCAGCGGTGAAAAGGGGCTGCGGGCCGAACACTTTGATGAGCTGACGGCGGCCAGCCCAGAACTGCGGCAAGAGGTGTTTATGGAACTGTACTTTTTCAAGGTGCTCGGCCAGGTTCGGGAGCGTGCTGTCGTCTCATACAGCCGCCAGCGGACTACGCGATACGCCCCATCGATGATGGCGCACTCCCGAGAAGGATCCATCAACATCAACCTGGACGACGACGATGACGAGCCCCCTCGTGAATCACTGCCTTTGCACCATGTCCAATCTCCGACCGTGTCACTATCGCCAACTTCCCCGTCGTCCATGCACGCCCCATTCCCATCAGCACACCCGTCTTTCTTGCACCATCAAGAAAGCATTCCACCATCGATCCCGATACTCCACGTTGAACCACCCCCCGGTCACGGCCACCACAAGCCAATAGTCTTGGACAAGACAGCAATGCTGGAAGCCGAAGCGTCGGCCATCTGGTGCACGCTCGTGTTTCGGATGCTCTGCTGGTTGCTGCTGCATGATTTCAACAAGAAGGATGTGCAGGTGGCTAAGAGCGAGCTGCTCGGGAGCCGGCTACCGGTATATATCACCTAGGTAGGGCGGGATGGCGGAGGTGTGTGCTGGCTGAGGCTTAATTTATTTCGGATACTTGCATGAGTCTGGGCATGTGTTTTGGAATATGAAGTTATGATGTAATTCCCGACGGGAGGATACCTCGTTCGAAGGTACATCTTGGGTTTTCGGTTGGTCTTGGGTAATGGATAAACAAAGTATTTTCCGCAACCATTCAACTCCTCTGTCGTCGTTCATCGTGCTCCATGCCCCACCCACAGAGGCTAGGTGGCCGGTGACCCTTCCCCTTTTTCTCGCATCGCAGCGCTGGAGCATTGGTCAGCCAGTCGGTTTCCAGCTGGTTTGCACCTGCTCACTGCTGCTCTTGAGCTGTTCCCCAGTGCCCAAAGTGGGGCTCGCTAAAGCTGCTTGATGAACTGGCAACTGTCTCCACCACTGCAACGAATTGCCACACAATTTTTCACCCTCTCCACAGATGGAACGGAATGGTCGGCGGAGCTCCGAGTTGAGAACTCTCCTCGCGGAGCTCTCCCTTGGAGCGGACGTGGCCAACTCAGCGCCGCAACCCTCCTCATCCCAGCCACCTGACATTGGCTGAACGAATCCCAAACCCACGATAGGTATCCAGATTCAGACTTTCGCGGGACCCCCCCCCCCCCCCCCCCCCCCAGACCGCCAATTGGGGGCGCCACAACGGGTGTGCCCCGCCGAGAGCACTGGGAGGCCCCGCGAGACACCCCTGTTACTTTCTGCTCGGCTCGCCTGGCATGCCTGGCCATTTTTTTTTCAGGGGCGTGTTGCGGTGAGCGCAAAAGGTGACCGCCTCGTCACCACCAGCCCGCGGGGTTGGTTCGGATGCTTGCCGCACCCACACCTCGACCCGGCCAGCGGGGATCGGGGTGGTCGGAACGGAGGGGAGGGGCGGGCGCTGAGAGGGAAGCTGGGAGCCCTCAATCTTTTGCAACGGCATGGCGGGGTTGGCTGTGTTGCGTCGCTTTGCTTTGCTCTGCTTCATGCCCGATGGCAGCTCCGGCGTCCAATCACGCGCCCAGCCCTGCATGCAACAGCGTTCTGCTGCCAGCATGGCACCACGAGGCCTGAAACACTTGAGATCTGGCGCCCGCCACTTTATCCCGATGTCCCCTGGCTCGTTTTGACCGTACTTCTTTTCTTGTCTTCTCCTTCGAGTTGAGTCACCGACGTTCATTCTTGACGCCTACATACAAGGAAACACAACCTACCTCCAACTACTCAAACTCGAAGAGACAAAAACAAAGTAAACCTCTCGGCTGGACCAAGAGACTTGCACGCGCATGGCTTGAGCGCTTCACAATCAACCCAGAGATCCTCGTCATACGCACTTGCTGCTTGTCCAAAAGCCCTACTACACCTTAAAAAAATGGCGGGCGACGAGATCATCACCATTATCAACAACTCGGGGAAGGTCATCAGCACGGTACGTGATCTTCCATGCATGTTGTGGTTACACAGCATGGTTCTAACACCCCGCAGGGCAAGCAGCTGGTCAGCCTCTTCAAGGAAGCTCAGGCCGCATACCGAGGCAAACGGGAAGCCGTTAGGTCCGAACGTGCTGGCATCCAGCGGGCCAAGACGTTTGATGTCGGCCCCCGCGACGACATCTACGAGCAGTACGACCGTGGTTACCCCAACGAACCCGAATATGAGTTCGACCGACGGTCTGTCCGCTCTGGTTCCGGCCGGCGCAAGTCCTCCGATGACAACGACGACACCCGGTCCTATGCGTCGTCCCGGCACAGCCGTCGCTCCCGTCGTCCTCGGCGTCTCCCTTCGCCAGAGCGTCCGCTGGCCCTAACCGCAGGCAACCTCAAGGCTCACTCGGAGGTTTCCACCACCACGCCGTCCAAGGTGCACAAAGCCCCGCAGGTTGAGGATGCGCCCCGGGAATTGGAGCTTGCACGCAAAGATCTTGCCGTCGGTCTCCCGCGGCCACCGCTCAAGTCATCGTCCTCGGACCCTGTTCCGACTCGAAAGAAGTCTATCGACATGAACCTAGCCTACGGCGATATCCCCCCGGACCTCGAAACCCGCGTGGACCTTGACACCGGCCGCAAAGATGACTGCAGCTCAGCCCACGAGTCTGACGGCCCGCGCGACCCGCAGGAAACCGAGGCAATCGACATCATGGATCGCATCGAGGACTATCTCGAGGAAGCGCAGTGCATGCACCACACCGCGTCATCCATGATCGAGAACCTACAGCGCAACCCGGAAGCGGCCGCGGCCGTTGCTCTGTCCCTCGCCGAACTGAGCGCCATCGTCGGCAAAATGAGCCCGGCCTTCTTGGCGTTCCTCAAGGGCGGCAGCCCCGCCGTCTTCGCCCTGCTAGCCAGCCCGCAGTTTCTCATCGGCGCGGGTGTGGCTGTGGGCGTGACCGTCGTCATGTTTGGCGGGTGGAGGATTGTCAAGCGTCTTGCCACGGGCGGCAAGACGCTCGAGGCACCAATCCCAATGCGCTCCATGTCGAGCCCGGCCGTCCCGACCGCGGAACAAGTCGACGCCGCGCATGCTCTGCCCCCTCCCCCTAGCCTTCCTGCCATTACTAGCGCCAGTGCCGCCGGCTACGATGAGGCCGTCGTGTTGCGTGACGTTGAGGAACTCAGCAGCATTGAAACATGGCGTCGTGGCATTTCCTCCTTTGGCCCCGATACCGACAATGAAGCTGCCGAAATCGAGCTGCTGAGCCAAGAGGCGGAGCGCGCTCTCAAGGAGGCGCACAACCGCGACCTTGACGAGGTAACCCCGTTCGACTCCGTTTCCCAGGTCAGCTGGGCCCGGCCCCGACGCCCACATCGCAGCCACCGCAGCAGCTCCCACCGACACCGCGAACGCGACGCCGAGACGGAGGTGTCGGATCGCAGGAGCAGTGTCAGCAAGAGGGAGCGTAGTGAGAAGGACCGCAGTGACAAGCACCGGGAGAGGGAGCGAGAGAGGGATCGCGAGAAGGACCGGGACCGAGAGCGGGATAGAGACGACCGGGCCAGCGAAGCGGGCAGTGAGCGCAGCCATCGCAGCACTCGCAGCCACCGCAGCAGCAGCAGTCGCAAGCACCACGACTCCGGTGCTTCGTCGGTCTCGCGATCGTCTAAGCACCCGGCCAAGATCACGCTCAAGGTGATTGAGGAAGGGGATGGGGCTGAAGACGGGGCCAGCAACGCTGGTAGCGCCACGGGCAAGACGAAGGAGAAGAAACGTGACATGATCAAGCAGCTGTTCAAGATGAAGAAGGACAAGGATGAGCAGAATAAGGCGCTTTCTGTGATGGTGTGAGCTGCATTTTGGCTTTTTTCCCGTTTGCATTGGGTTGTGGCGTTTTGTTTGAAGGTTGGAGTCTCGATCGGGTACCAGGTGTTTTATACGACAAATCTCCAGATTTTCCTTTCCATACCTCATATGGCTTCCGCTGGCTCAGGGGTAGCTCAGAATTTACTCAGCGGCTAAGCTGCAGAACGTGGGATTAGTTCCGTGCTTAGAAGTGAACCCTGCATGGCGATTTACATACCAGAGAATGACCAAATTTTACAGTCTTTAGATCGCGGTTGGTTCTGGTTCTACTTATCGTTAGGAACCCGTACCTGAATTGAATACATATACTCTCACATCACATGTTAGTGCCTTTAGTGCAAAATCCTAGACCAACCGCGGATGTAAAACATTGAGCTTCATGACCCTTGCCCGGATTATCATTCAAGGCCATGGCGCAGATTGCATCCTCGTCCAACGACGCTTTTTGAAGCACATGCACAAGTCACTGGTCATGATAGGGAATCAATCCACCCACCCAATCAATCGCCTTACTTTGGTTGAACTGATTTTCCTCTATTGCTTTCACTCGATATGTTCGTTGGCGTACGGTCCGTTTTCCCTTCACGAAGGACCCAGATGGTCAATTCGATCTAATATAAAAACCCTCAAACACTCTCTGAGGATCGTCAAAAAAGGGGTGCTTGGAAAACAACGACCCCAAACAGTCCTCGTCCAACTGCATTTGATCTCGCAGTACCCAATATACAATCCCAACGGCCATCGGAGTCACCACCGTCTCGCTCGTCGGTGTGGTGCCCAGTAGCCGCGTGGCACAAGACAGCGTCATGAAGGCTTCGGCGGCGGCCTGACAACGGAACTTGGCCTTCCCCGGGAGAATAAGCGGGTTGGCGCCGTGAGCCATTACCGCGGCGCCTTGGAGGCGCACATACCTCTCATCTTCCGGAGACAGATGTTCGGGGTGCTCTGGTGGTTGGCCGCGTGCAATCGCCTGAAGTTGCATGAGGTAAATAAGGGTCGCGTTGTAGTAAAGGATGTCGAGCGCCAACCGCGCCGTGTCAAACTCCAAGTTGGCCCGCAGCATCATGCCAACCAGAAAAGGAAGGCTGTCGTGTTTGTTGGGCTCCATCGGGTTCCCGGTGTGCCGATTCATGCGTACTGAACCCGAGTGCACTCTGTGCCAGTCCCAACGCCATGCTTGAAGTGCGAAAGACAACCCTTGGATCTTATCCACACAAGCCGCTCGTTTGCGTGTGTCCATTACAGCCTCGGCTGTGCCAGGGAGCTCAACAAGGATATCTATCAGACGATCCTCAAAGGTCTTCGATACATATTGCCATGGAACAGTCTTCCAAGATTCATCTGCAAGGAAGCAGTGCTTTTGTTGCCAAATCATTTGGCAGATCTTAAAGTTGGGACCCGGGTCAGTTGCGGGTCCACTAATACACGGCGCATCCGAAACGACTCACAAGCAAGACTCGGCAGGATCGATACAGGACGAGGAGCTTTTCATCTCGAAATATTTCTGGTCCGCAGTACCGTAGAATATTGCTGATGCCGACGTGATGAGGAGGCGCAGCTCCCGCGACTCTGTGTGTGGCATACTGGGACAACTTAGCAACGCGAGGTTCGGACTTGGGAGTGCAAACCGGACCGGGCGAAACGTTACCTCGTACATATCCATCAGTATCAATGTGGAACAAAGCTCGGCAAGCCGCGGTTTGGCAGATTCATGGAGCAAAGATTGAACTCTGCGCAATACTTGGCCGTACAGCATGCCTCCCTTCGCTCGCAGGGCGCAGTCCCCACGACTCGCACCCATATATGCATACGAGATGGCATGGAAACAGATTGTATTGACTTCGGAGCATCCGCTCGTTGTGACGGACAGAATATGGGGCCGCCACATGGGGGCCCAGCTGTAGTGCGAGAAAAAGTACGGGGAGGTTTGCTGGTGACCATGGAGGCGTAATTCGAGTTTGGGGGATGGCACCAGTGCCAAGCGCGCTCGGCTTGTAGAGGGTTCCAGAGTTGGTATCTTCACCAGTCGCTGCGTGCCGTCGTGCTCTGCGTGAACTCCAAGCATATTCATGCGCAAGGGGAGGTCATAACCGCCGCAGGTGTGACCAGAAGAAATGCAACGGCCGCAGTTGGGACGTCCCTTGTCTACAGATGCGTATTATTGTCTCAACGAGGATACTTCCATGTTAATTTGCTAGGGGGGTATGGACGCCGTAGTCGAACTTAACCGTTTAATAGGTGCATCACACTTACCACACTTGACTCGCCTCTTTCGGCAGGTTTGGCAATACCCGCTCAACGGTAGTCGACCCATAGGTAATCGGCATTCGGCAATTCAGTCGCTTTCTGCTACAAGGACCGAGATCTGAAACCCAGTGCCTATCGGGATGTTGACTCTGGGTTCCAGGTACCCTCAGCGTCACAGCGGAGCTGAGATCCTCAGCTAAACCGAGTGTTGAGTGTTCCGGGTTCACGTGTGACGTGTCTCGTGGGCTGCTTGTGAGTCTGTGACCGCTTCTCAGTCTTCTGCGACTGTGCACACTGTGCGGTGTTGCAGTTCACCACAAGAAGCGGACCTAATTATCAGTCAACAGAGAGTTTGTAATCAAGTCGAGTCAAGTCAAGGCAATTCGAGTCTCTCCGATGGCTGGTTCCCCGAGATTCGACGGCAATTGCACGAGAAAGAGGATCCAGCCAGTGTTCGTGCCGGTTTCGAGTCGGACCTGAAGCCTTGGAGTTTGTCAGCTCCACTAATCTTGGAAGCGCCCAGCCGAGTCCAGTTTCGTGCTCGCTCGCCAATCAGCAGCGGCATGTCGATCAAGGCCAAGCATTTGCCCCACGTGGTGTTGTGACACCTGTTTCCCGATCCGGTAACTTTGATCGAGATGCATAAGGGATCTTGCTTACAATGAGTGAAATCGATCCTGAGCCTCAGAACCGAGAGAAGTGAATTTGTCAGGTCGAGAAGGTTGTTCTTTTACGGATATAAAATGAGCTGAATGCCCTCGACATCTATTGCCAAAATGTACAGCAATCTCATCACAAGTCCATCACATCAAATACGCTTCTCACCTTTCAATTCCAAGCTTGACTCGTCGACTCGACACCATCGCCATGGAGAACCTCCCGAAAGACCACTTTGTCACTAGGTACAACCTTGACCCTCCTTTCACCCATCACCACCCAGTACAACATTAACATAATTATACGTACAACAGCCTCCAGTTTACCAAGAACGTTTACCAAGATGTGTATCCTTCTATCGAGCCTACGAGACCGGAACTTTCTGTAGCCGGTAAAGTTGTCATCGTCACCGGTGCTAGCCGCGGCATCGGAGCTAGGGTACTTGAATTCCTGAGTAAGTTGGGTTTTATAGATGACTGATAGTTTGGTGATGGCGGATAGGGAATTGCCCCGGCATTTGCCAAAGCTGGCGCGAAAGCCATTGTATTGGTCGCCACCAACGCTGCGAAGCTTGCCACAGTCGAGGCCAGGCTCAAGGCCATCAACCCCAACGTGCAACTGCTCTCCGTTGCGACCAACATCGCCGACGAGGCGTCCGTCGCCAACCTGTTCGCCACCGTAAAGGCCAACTTTGGTCACGCCGACATCCTCATCCACAACGCTGCCGTCAGCAACGGCGCAGGAGTCATCCATGAGCAGGACGTTGACACGTGGTGGTCCAACTTTGTGCGCCCTCCCCCCTCCTGCCCCATTCTCCCTCTCGCTTCCTAACGCCCCTCGGAAACCTGAGTGCCTTAATCACTAACCCGCCCAACAGGAAGTCAACACCAAAGGCACCTTCCTCCTCGCCAAGTCCTTCATCACAGCCTTACCTACCCTAGACACACCGGCCACGCTCGTCAATGTAACCACCGCTGGCGCGTGGCTCGTCATCCCCTTCATGGCGGGTTACTCGACCAGCAAGCTCGCAAGCCAGCAGCTTCTAGCCCATTTCGCGGCCGCTTACCCCAGCCTGACGACCATCTCGCTGCACCCGGGCCTGGTCGACACCGACATGACGGATCCGGCGTTCGAGAGATTCAACAAGGACACGCCCGAGCTCGTTGGTGGTGTGGCAGTGTGGTTGACGAGTGAGAAGGCCAAGTTTCTGAGTGGGCGCGCCATTGCTGCCCAGTGGAGCGTCGATGATTTGGTGGAGAGGGAGAAGGAGATTGTGGAGGGGGGGTTGCTACAGATGGCGCTCAACGGGAAGCTGGGTAAGGAGCAATTTCAGTAAGATTAAGGATGCGATGTAAGGGTCATGTGGTGGGTTACTTTAGAAAGTTTCACGGGCAGTTTATTATTGCAGGTAGACGTTTGTTTAAAGGGTGAGAAGGGGGTTGTGGAAGCAGCTACCTGATTATTAAGTGTGGTTTTCGGTCATCACTTCGTCGTTGCTTGTATGGGTTGTTTTTGACAAGCAAAATCTTCTGTCCCGTTTCTGAATCCCCTCCTTCCTTGTCTCGGGAGCTGTCGTTGAGCAACCGGTTGGGAGTGAAACCCGTGTAAACATGGCCATTGCTCTCATGACAGAGGAGACGAATCTCCTTCCAGAAAGTGATACGTCCCTTCTATATGCTCATTTGAGTAAACGATTGCCACAAGTTCATCAACACCGTGATCAGGATGCTGCTCCCCCGAAAATACCAGCCAACCTAAGTGTCGCAGTTAGTACGTGCACCCTCTGCCGAAAGACTCCAGCCGTGATGGGGATTCTGACTCACCATAGTCATATTCCTCTGCGTAAGCCATGCCTAGAAACGCACCAAAGTTTGCCCCATTCTTCCGGAACACCCTCTCAATAGGAAAAGTGTTGTACCTGTCATGGGAGTTGAGGAACCCGCTTTCACAGTCTCGTTTGTAGGCCGCGACAAAGTCCAATCCGAAACCGGCTTCGTCGGCGGCAACCAAGTAACCGCCCTTGCGCACATTGCACTGCTGAAAGTGATCTGGATCGTTGGGACCAATGACAGGTTCCGCCCACTGCTGGAACTCGGGCTCTAAGCTGCTGTGGTAATGATGGGACCAGTCGTAACGACCGATGTACACGATGTCCTGTAAGTAAGAGGTCAGGTTCATGCTCCTAAAAGTACACACCAAAAGAGAAGGGATAAACCATGGCCTCTGACCTTGTCTGTGTGGCGGTTTCTATTGCTAACCGCCCCAGGCCCTGTCCCATCTAACGCTCGCACTCTCGCAAGTGTGTTTCTCGGATCGATATCTTCATGGTGCAAGATCCAACCTGCGGGATATGCTGGGTGATCAGAATCCCTGATCAAATCCCCTACCCTTTCGTTATATTGTCGAACTTTCCACTGACCATTCCGAGCTGCAGACCGATAACTGAAACGATGTTGTAGAATCGTGCCCCCTTCCAACTCCGGAGGCATGTGATTTACATTCTGTGTGAAGTTGGGGTGCGACATGGTGGAGTATAAGCAGACGATTTGGCCCCAGAGGAGGGAGCCAGAGCTAACCGTGAAGCCCGACTGGTCCGAGAGGAACGTTCCATCAATATCGCGTATGGCGTGCGCCTGAATCGGTGGAGGCGGCACAATATTGTTGCCCATCCATGCATCAGCGCCCTCCGGCTCGGCCTGGACGGTTGGCTGGGGCAGGTCTGCACGCTGTTTCGATCTTTCGAGTTGCAATCTTTCGCCTTTCAATCTTTCGAGTGCATCTGTTTCTGCGCGTGTTCGGTCGTCCTCCGTTAGCCAAGGCCGTACGAGGTAGAATTCATCAATTATCGATGCCTCGAGTTGCCGCTTGGCCTCCGATGATTTCCACTCATCAATAAACTGCCTCACCCGACGAACCAGGGACGCCACCTTGAGCTCGACCTCGTCGGGTTCCAAAACGGAGAAGGTCAAGGTCCCAAAGTCCCCGTCTTCCATCCAACGATCCCATTGCGCCAGAAATATGGAAAGCTGTCTCAAGTCCTGGCGCCCGTTCGATTCGTTTGCCACCATCTGCCTAATCCTTGGGAGAAGGGTGTTCAGTGTGGAGTCCAGATCTTGCCTCTCCTGCGGAGAAAGGCCGGGGCGTAGTGCCAGCGTCCCTTGAATCTCGCCGACCCGTCGAATCATCCTTCTCAGCTCGTCGTCGTCGTCAGGCCTTAATCGGCTCTTCTCCCTCTGCTTCGCCAGGTACGCGTGAGCGAACGTTGCCATTCGCCAAGCGTGCAAAGTTGATCCCAATCGTGACCACCGCAAATTCTCTCGATAATACCTCCCGAAGCTGTTGTACTGATCGTTGAGTATGGTGCCAAAAAACTTCTCAGGTGATCCAATCTCTTTCTCCAAGAATCCACCACCCAGGACGCGCTCGAGCGCCACTGGTTTGGTTTCCAACACCAGATGCAGAACAGGGGCGTACGCTTTTAGAATCTCTCTAGATGACCCATTGCTGTCGGACGCGACCGCACCGAGATCGTGACGGCGCACCTCAGCGAGGGTCATGTTCCAAGGCAGGGGGCGGTCTTTCCACCATGACCTTTCATCGCCATACTCCTGGGGAAAGATTGTGAACTGGCCTTGGTACTTCTTGAGAACGCCAAACTCTCGTTCCACTTCTTCGGACAACTGCAGTAGCGTAGTGTTGCCTGCCACAGGCTCCGAAAAGACGTGGCGTCCCAACGCTGTCCTGGGGTCCGCAGAAACCCACTCCTCACGCTTTGGCTTCTCCCGAGAGCGTGGAGGTAGGCTGATGAGTGGAGGAAGCTCCCACGCCGAGTCTGGGAAGTCGGCGAAGAGATCGGGGAGTAGGACTCGAGCCATCGTAGGGTTATGATTGACGAATACATGGAGTGTGAAGTGCGAGGGCTGTTCTGGCCGTGCCATCTTGGAGTTCTGGGTGAGAGGAAGAACAACTGGGCGGGAGGGCGTGTCTCGGCGACAGAGCTGCCAGGAAGAGAAAAGGTAACAGAGGAGTTGATTGAACAGCATCACTCAATGATCGAAGCATTGGTGTCAATGGTGTCTCTCTCTCAATCTTCCCAGAGCGGTCTCTCAAATCGGATATGAAGACCAAGAACACATTTGCGCTCCGAACATTTGGTTAGTTGGATGCCTAAACGCGGTTTTATGAGGAATCAAAGACGGGATAAGGCGGATAGATAATTTCCCGTCGCATTGTTCCAGAGGTTCAAGTTCAAACCCTATTTGAGTTCTGCCAAGTCAGAATCCGAAGCCAACCCGAGCCACTCCACTAAGACCAAGTCCCTGATATTAACTTACTTTAATTACTACAAGAGTGAAAAAAGACAAAAAAGAATAAATCTAGAAAATGAAAAAAGAACAAAAAGAATAAACTAAAAAAGTGAAAGAAGACAAAAAAAGGATAAATTTATTTTGAAAGTGGAAAAAGACAAAAAAAGTAAATTAACGTTAACGTGCATTATAAGCGAGCGGGCCATATAAGCGAACGGGCCATATAAGCGAACGGGCCACTTCCAACGCGACCCAACACCTTTTCTCAATTATCACGCCCCAACATTAAGAACCAACTACAATTACATCAGAAACAGCTGAATCAGACCCTTCTGCAACCTCCTG